AGATGATTTTCCTTGATTATTTCCCTTTTATTTTTTAAGATGATTTTCCTTGATTATTTTCCTTTCTTTTCTTAAGATGATTTCCCTTTTTTTTTTTTTAAGATGATTTTCCTTGATTATTTCCTTTTTTTTTGGTTTTTTTTTTTTGAGAAGGCACCAAGGGACTGTTGTGTGCACAGGAACAGAGATTCCTGCCTCTCCAGCCCTGCAGAAATTCAGATGTTTTTTTTTCCCCAGCCTTTCCCGAAATAAGTAGCTGTTAAATTTCTGCTATGAAGCACAATAGCGAGGGCAGCCCCTGCATTCCAAAGGCGCACGGTGGCTGCTGGAGCAGGGAACAATTCCCAGGGCGATCCCTGTGCCTCATTCCATGAGTGCAGCTCCCTCCAGTCCAGGCTGAGCTCACACCTTGCACGGAATAAAAGCGGAAACAATCAGCACTCGTAGAGGCCAAAATCAAAGGCACCGCGAGTCGCCGAGTTTCCAGGGGATTTGGACAGTCAATTGGGCTTTTCCTGTTTATTAATTAGGATTTTTTTTAATAAACAGCAGTTTTTAGCTAAGTGAAAGCCTGAAAAGAGCCGTGCCACGAGTCTGATCTGATCCTGCTCTGCCGCTTAGCACAGAGGAGCTGAAACACCCTTGTAAGGCTGGGGTTCCACCAAAACACAGCTGCTCTCCTCCCAAAAGCTCATTTCTATCCCCAAATTCCCAGAACTCCCAGGTAAAGCCTCACCTGCTGCCCAGGTGAGGTCTGAAGCCATTTTGTGTGCTCTAACAAGCCCAGATCTGCACACACACACACAGAGTTATTACCCTCGACCGTCAGGTGGGAATGCAGAGCACAAACGGTGAGAGGTTGAGGAGGAGAAAAATATTCCAGAGTGGAACGTGTCAGAACAGGTCCCTGAGTTCCACAACAGTGATCACCTCCATGGCCACAGAGCTGGGCTGCTCTGGGAAGCCCTGAACACCAGAGTGGCCACCAGCCCATGCTCTGTCCCCAGAGATGTTCAGTCAAGGTTTTCCTCTGGGAAAATCTTTCCTCCAGTTCATCCCAAATCAATTTCCTTCCTAAAACTGGAGTTGAGATCCTCTGTTTGTCCCAAACCTGCAGCAGAATCCTCCTGCTCCTCCCAGGCCCAGAGCTGAGACCTCTCACTCTTCCCCCATGAGCAGCAGGACCAGGGAAAGGAAAAGGATCAACATGGAACAAACAAGAGACAAAGAGTTCATCTTCCCTCACCTCCTTCCAAACAAATATTTACAGCTGCTCCAGAAGCTCAGGGTATGGAAAGGTTTCCTTAAAAGCCCACACAGGGTATGGAAAGGTTCCCTTAAAAGCCCACACAGGGTATGGAAAGGTTCCTTAAAAACCCAAACAGGGTATGGAAAGGTTCCCTTAAAAACCCAAACAGGGTATGGAAAGGTTTCCTTAAAAACCCAAACAGGGTATGGAAAGGTTCCCTTAAAAGCCCAAAAGGAGCCTCCTGCTCCTCCCAAACCCAGAGCTGAGACCTCTCACTCTTCCCCCATGAGCAGCAGGACCAGGGAAAGGAAAAGGATCAACACGGAACAAACAAGAGACACAAAGAGCTCTTCCTCCCTCACCTCCTTCCAAACAAATATTTACAGCTGCTCCAGAAGCTCAGGGTATGGAAAGGTTTCCTTATAGCCCAAACAGGGTATGGAAAGGTTTCCTTTCCATAAATGAAAGCCCAAAGGAGCCTCCTGCTCCTCCCGACCCCAGAGCTGAGACCTCTCACTCTTCCTCCATGAGCAGCAGGACCAGGGAAAGGAAAAGGATCAACATGGAACAAACAAGAGACAAAGAGTTCATCTTCCCTCACCTCCTTCCAAACAAATATTTACAGCTGCTCCAGAAGCTCAGGGTATGGAAAGGTTCCCTTAAAAGCCCACACAGGGTATGGAAAGGTTTCCTTAAAAGCCCAAACAGGGTATGGAAAGGTTCCTTAAAAACCCAAACAGGGTATGGAAAGGTTTCCTTAAAAGCCCACACAGGGTATGGAAAGGTTCCTTAAAAACCCAAACAGGGTATGGAAAGGTTTCCTTAAAAGCCCACACAGGGTATGGAAAGGTTCCTTAAAAACCCAAACAGGGTATGGAAAGGTTCCCTTAAAAGCCCAAAAGGAGCCTCCTGCTCCTCCCGACCCCAGAGCTGAGAGCTCTCACTCTTCCCCCATGAGCAGCAGGACCAGGGAAAGGAAAAGGATCAACATGGAACAAACAAGAGACACACAAAGAGTTCATCTTCCCTCACCTCCTTCCAAACAAATATTTACAGCTGCTCCAGAAGCTCAGGGTATGGAAAGGTTTCCTTATAGCCCAAACAGGGTATGGAAAGGTTTCCTTTCCATAAATGAAAGCCCAAAGGAGCCTCCTGCTCCTCCCAAGCCCAGAGCTGAGACCTCTCACTCTTCCCCCACGAGCAGCAGGACCAGGGAAAGGAAAAGGATCAACATGGAACAAACAAGAGACACAAAGAGCTCTTCCTCCCTCACCTCCTTCCAAACAAATATTTACAGCTGCTCCAGAAGCTCAGGTATGGAAAGGTTTCCTTAAAAGCCCACACAGGGTATGGAAAGGTTTCCTTAAAAGCCCACACAGGGTATGGAAAGATTTCCCTAAAAGCCAAAACAGGGTATGGAAAGGTTCCCTTAAAAACCTAAAGGAGCCTCCTGCTCCTCCCGACCCCAGAGCTGAGACCTCTCACTCTTCCCCCACGAGCAGCAGGACCAGGGAAAGGAAAAGGATCAACATGGAACAAACAAGAGACAAAGAGTTCATCCTCCCTCACCTCCTTCCAAACAAATATTTACAGCTGCTCCAGAAGCTCAGGTATGGAAAGGTTTCCTTAAAAGCCCACACAGGGTATGGAAAGGTTCCTTAAAAGCCCAAAGTGCAGATTGCAGAGGGCTGGATGGTACAGCCACACCTCTGGGGCACAGGGGGCTGCCAAGTTCACCCCAGCAAGGGCCACAGGACAGTGGGGAAGAGGCCACAAACTCCAGAAATTCCACGACAACACGGTGGCACTTCCCACCTTGGGCTGATCCACATCTCTGTGACAAGCCCAGAAAACACCTCTGAGACCCCCAAGCCTATCCCCTGTGAAACCCATAAATCCCAATCTCCATCGTTAGCTCCCAAAACCTGAGGCTGAAGGCTCCCAAATCTCCTCCCAAGGGGAGCCCAGGCCTCTTCAGAGCATCCCCTGGCACTGCAGGACCCCCAGCACTGGGAGCCACCCCCAGCCCCAACTGCCTCTCCCTGACACATCCCCACCCCACAAAGCCCCAAACCACCTCTGGTTCACACAAACCACACAGCCCTGTGAGCCCCCAAACACCCAACACACGTCCTTGATGCCTTCGGAGTCCCCTCTGCTTCCAGAACCCTTAACCCCATAGATCCCACCCCAAATCCTTCACCCTGAAACACCCACCCCTATCCACACCCCCCAAACACCCAACACACATCCTTGATGCCTTCAGAGTCCCCTCTACTTCCAGAACCCCTAACACCATAGATCTCACCCCAAATCCTTCACCCTGAAACACCCACCCCAATCCACACCCCCCAAACACCCAACACACATCCCTGATGCCTTCAGAGTCCCCTCTACTTCCAGAACCCCTAACCCCATAGATCCCACCCCAAATCCTTCACCCTGAAACACCCACACACCCCTGTGAGCCCCCAAACACCCAACACACGTCCTTGATGCCTTCAGAGTCCCCCCTGCTTCCAGAACCCTTAACCCCATAGATCTCACCCTAAATCCTTCACCCCGAAGCACCCACACCTACCCATGCCCCCCAAACACCCAACACACGTCCTTGATGCCTTCGGAGTCCCCCCTGAATCCAGAACCCTTAACCCCATAGATCTCACCCCAAATCCTTCACCCTGAAACATCCACATCTATCCACACCCCCCAAACACTCAACACACGTCCTTGATGCCTTCAGAGTCCCCTCTACTTCCAGAACCCCTAACCCCATAGATCCCACCCCAAATCCTTCACCCTGAAACACCCACACCTATCCATGCCCCCCAAACATCCAGCACACATCCTTGATGCCTTCGGAGTCCCCCCTGCTTCCAGAACCCCTAACCCCATAGATCTCACCCCAAATCCTTCCCTTAACCCTGAAACACCCACACCTATCCATGCCTCCCAAACACCCAACACACGTCCTTGATGCCTTCAGAGTCCCCTCTGCTTCCAGAACCCCTAACCCCATAGATCCCACCCCAAATCCTTCACCCTGAAACACCCACACCTATCCATGCCCCCCAAACACCCAACACACCTCCTTGATGCCTTCGGAGTCCCCCCTGCTTCCAGAACCCCTAACCCCATAGATCTCACCCCAAATCCTTCACCCTGAAACACCCACCCCTATCCGCACCCCACCTGCGCGCCCCAAACATCCAACACACGTCCTTGATGCCTAAAGAATCCCCGTTTCTTCCAGACCCCCTAACCCCCATAGATCCCACCCCCAAATCTTTCTTGTCACCCTGAACCACCCACACCTATCCACGCCCCGAACCGCTCAGGAGCCTCCTCGCAGCCTTGGGGGCACCTCCAGGCACCTCCAAGCCTCTCGCCTCCCCCACCCCATGATCCACCACCCTGGAACACCCACCCCTATGTCTCCCCGCCCCCAAACTCCTCAGGGCCTCCTCACACCCCCAGCCATCTCTCGCCCCCTTTCCCTCACCCTAAAACCTCCCCAGGGCCTCACCCCACACCCGCCCGCCCCACAGCCGCCCCCAGGCTCGGGCAGGCCCCGGCCCTTCCTCCCCGTTGCCCTCAGCTCCCCACATCGCCTCCCTCTCGCTTCCCTCCATCGTTCCTCGCTCCCCCTCACGACCCCTCCCCGGTCCTCCCCGTTCCCCTCACGGCGGGGGCGGGGGCGCCGCCATGTTGTGCCCGGTGCGGGCCGGGTCCGGCGCGGCCGCTCACTCACCGCGGGCCCCGCCGAGCGGGCCGGCCACGAGCAGGAGCAGGACGGGCAGGAGGGCGGCGGGGATCGGCGGGGAGCGGCGGGCGGCGGGAGGGGCCGGAGGGAAGCGGGGGGCCCGAGCGGCCATGGCGGGGACGCGCCGCGGCCTCGGAGCGGAGCGGCCGCAGCGCCGGAGGGAGGGGGAGCGGGGGCGGGGCCGGGGCGGGGCTAAAGCGGAGGGGGCGGGGCGAACCCGCGCGTGCGCATTCGGGAGGGGAGGGGGGACAGCGGGAGGGGACCCCAGGGTGGGGAGGGGAGATAAGGGGGAGATAAGGGTGAGATACGTGTGTGATAAGTGTGAGATATGTGTGAGATGTGTATGATATGGGTGTAATAAGCGTGTAAGGTATGCGTGAGATGAGTGTGTGATATGGGAGAGATACGGGTGTGGTAAGTGTGTAAATATGTGTGAGATACGTATGGGATAAGTGTAAGATATGTGTGATATGAGTATGATATGGGTGTGATAAGTGTGTAAGATATGTGTGAGATAACTGTGTGATATGGGTGAGATGGGTGTGATAAGTGTGTGAGATTTATGTGTGTGATGTGTGAGGTATGTGTGAAATAAGTGTGAGATATGGGTGTGATAAGTGTGTAAGATATGTGTGAGATAATTGTGTGATATGGGAGAGATGGGTGTGATAAGTGTGTGAGATATGTGTGTGTGATGTGTGAGGTATGTGTGAAATAAGTGTGTAAGATATGCATTAGAGAAGTGTATGATAAGTGTGATATATGGGTGTGATATGGGTGAGATACATGTGTGATACAGGTGTGATAAGTGTGTGATATGTGAGTGTGATTTTTGTGTATGATGTGTGTGCACATGTGTGATTGGTGTGTCCAAACATGATTTGTGTGCACAGTGTATGATGTATTCAAACATGAATATATTGTATATAAATATGTATAGCATGTATTCAAAACATGCCGTGTGTGCATAGTGTACGATGTATGTGTTCAGGTGTTGTTTGTGTCTGGTGTGTGTGCACACGTGTGATTTGTATGTTCAAACATGATGTGTGTGCACATGTGTGATGTGCAGGAGCTCAGGCATTGTTTGTGTCTGGTGTGTGTGCACAGTGTGTGACTCAAACATGACATGTCTGTGTACTGTGTGATGTGTGTGTTCAGGCGTTGTTCATGTGTGCAGCTGTGTGTGATGTGTGTGCACAGTGTGTGATGTGTGTGTTCAGGCTTTGTTCGTGTCTGATGTGTGTGCACGTGTGTGATTGGTGTGTTCAAACATTATGTGTGTGCACAGTGTGTGATTCAAACATGATGTGTGTGTGTACTGTGTGATGTGTGTGTTCAGGCATTGTTCAGCCATGTCTGATGTGTGTGCACAGTGTGTGATGTGTGTGTTCAGGCTTTGTTCAGCCATGTCTGATGTGTGTGCACAGTGTGTGATGTGTGTGTTCAGGCCTTGTTCAGCCATGTCTGATGTGTGTGCACAGTGTGTGATGTGTGTGTTCAGGCGTTGTTTGTTTGTGCAGCCATGTCTGGTGTGTGTGCACATGTGTGATTGGTGTGTTCAAACATTATGTGTGTGCACATGTGTGATTGGTGTATTCCCGTGTTGTTTGTGTCTGATGTGTGTGCACAGTGTATAATGTGTGTGCTCAGGCATTGTTCATGTGTGCATGCGTGTCTGATGTGTGTGCAAATGTGTGATGTGTTTGTTCAAACATGATTTGTGTGCACAGTGTGTGTGTAGGTGTGCAGGATATGTGTGTAGGTGTGTGTGCAGGAATGCAGGTTGTGTGTGCAAGCATGATCTGTGTGTGCAGGGTGTGTGTGCAGATGTGTGTGATGTGTGTGCAGGTGTGCAGGGTGTGTGTGCAAGCATGATTTGTGTGTGCAGGTATGCAGGATGCGTGTGCAGGTGTGCAGGGTGTGTGTGCAACCATGATTTGTATGTGCTTGATGTGTGAGTGTGCGTGTGTGCCGTGTTGGGGCAGGCAGGCACTGAGCCACCCTGGGTTGGGCACCCCAAACCTGGGCAGAGCACCCCAAACCACAGGCTCAGCATCCCAAACTCTGGGTAGGGCACCCCAGAGCACCATCTGAGCACCCCAAACCCTGGTAGAGCACCCCAAACCACCATCTGAGCACCCCAAACCCTGATAGAACACCCTAAACCACCCTCTGAGCACCCCAAACCCTGGTAGAGCACCCCAAACCACCATCTGAGCACCCCAAACTCTGGGTAGGGTGCCCCAAACCACGGACTGAGCACCCCAAACCCTGGGTAGAACACCCCAAACCACAGACTGGCACCCCAAACCACAGGCTGAGCACCCCAAACTCTGGGTAGGGTGCCCCAAACCACAGGCTGAGCACTCCAAACCCTGGTAGGGCACTGCAAACCACAGACTGACACCCCAAACCCTGGTAGGGCACCCCAAACCACAGACTGAGAACCCCAAACCCTGGGTAAGCACCCCAAACCACCATCTGAGCATTCCATAACCTGGGTAGAACACCCCAAACCACAGACTGGCACCCCAAACCACCATCTGAGCACCCCAAACTCTGGGTAGAACACCCCAAACCACAGATTGGCACCCCAAACCACCATTTGAGCACCCCAAACAACAGACTGCCACCCCAAACCCTGGATAAATACCCCAAACCACAGGCTGAGCACCCCAAACGCTGGTAGGGCACCCCAGACCACAGGCTGAGCACCCCAAACCCTGGTAAGCACCCCAAACCATCATCTGAGCATCCCAAACCCTGGGTAAGCACCTCAAGCTCCAGGCTGAGCACCCCAAACTCTGGTTAGGGCACCCCAAACTCTGGTTGGGGCACCCCAAACCACAGACTGACACCCCAAACCCTGAGTAGGGCACCCCAAACCACGGGCTGAGCACCCCAAACCCTGGGTAGGGCATCCCAAACCCTGGGTAGGGCACCCCAAGCCCCAGGCTGAGCACTCCAAACTCTGGTTAGGGTACCCCAAACCACAGACTGACACCCCAAACCCTGAGTAGGGCACCCCAAACCATGGGCTGAGCACCCCAAACCCTGGGCAAATACCCCAAACCACAGACTGAGCACTCCAAACCCTGAATAGGGCACCCCAAACCCTGAGTAGGGCACCCCAAACCACAGACTGACACCCCAAACCCTGAGTAGGGCACCCCAAATCCTGAGTAGGGCACCCCAAGCCCCAGGCTGAGCACCCCAAACCCTGAGTAGGGCACCCCAAACCATGGGCTGAGCACCCCAAACCCTGAATAGGGCACCCCAAACCATGGGCTGAGCACCCCAAACCCTGAATAGGGCACCCCAAACCCTGAATAGGGCACCCCAAACCCTAGGCTGAGCACCCCAAACCCAGAGCAGGGCACCCCAAACCCCAGGCTGAGCACCCCAAGCCCAGATTAAGGCACCCAAGCCCCTCCATACCCTCATGCCATGCCCAGCAGCAGCTGCCCAGTTCCTCCCAGTCTCTAACTGGGCACAGACCAAGGTGGCAGCTGTGATGTGCTGGGAACACTTTGGAGCTGAAGCCCTAAATTGAGCCAGGAGTGCCCAGTGCCCATCCTGCCATGGTGCCCCCAGTGCCCAGCGTGGGAGCTTGGGCAGCTCTTAGGTGATAAAATAGCTTTACACTTTATTAAATATATTAAATCTTAATCATTAAATAGTTATGTGGCAAAGCTGGTTCTGCTGAACGTCCCATCCTGGTCATGTCCAAACATCTCCAAGCATGGGGTGGATTTTGGGATGGTGAGGAGCAACGGGGGATGAAGCTGGCCGAATCAAAACACCTCAGAAAAACACCAAAATATTGGCAAAGAGCAAAGAGGGCACTTCTTTGGCAAGGGGGGTGCTGGCTGCTGGAATCGATGACCTTAAAAATCATCCTAAATGCCTTTGTGATCTGTCCCCTCGGGGCTGGAAGGATCATCCTGACGCTCAGACCACTCTGGACGCCGGCAGCTCCTCATTTTTTGGGATCCCCACAATCCAGGGTGCAGATCCAGGGGGGTGCTGCCCTTGTGCCAACCTTTGCCAGCGAAACCCATCCCTCCTCTAGCGGGCACCGCGGCTCTGCCGGGGAATTCCTGCCAGGGCCGGCCGGGCGGGTCCGGGCAGCTCCGCCCGGATGGAGCCGGCGCTGGGTGGGTGCCCCTGGGGCTGGGGGCGGTTCTGCCCTTGGTGTCCCTCAGGCTGGGGGTGGTTCTGCCATCGCTGCCCCTCGGGTGTCCCTCAGGCTGGGGGTGGATTTGCCCTTGGTGCCCCTCGGGGTGGGTGCTCTGAGGGCCGGGGGTGGTTCTGCCATCCGTGCCCCTCGGGCTGGGGGTTCTGCCCTCGATGCCCCTCGGGATGGGTTCTCCCAGGGCTGGGGGTGGTTCTGCCAACAGTGCCCCCAGAGCTGGGGGCGGTTCTGCCCTCGATGCCCCTCGGGATGGGTGCTCTGAGGGCTGGGGGTGGTTCTGCCTACAGTGCCCCCAGAGCTGGGGGTGGTTCTGCCCTCGATGCCCCTCGGGGTGGGTTCTCCCAGGGCCGGGGGTGGTTCTGCCATTGGTGTCCTGAGAGCTGGGGGTGGTTCTGCCCTTGGTGCCCCTCAGGGTGGGTTCTCTCAGGGCTGGGTGTGGTTCTGCCATCCGTGCCCCTCAGGGTGGGTGCCCCGAGGGCTGGGGGTGGTTCTGCCCTTGGTGCCCCTCAGGGTGGGTTCTCTCAGGGCTGGGTGTGGTTCTGCCATCCGTGCCCCTCAGGGTGGGTGCCCCGAGGGCTGGGGGTGGTTCTGCCCTTGGTGCCCCTCGGGGTAGGTGCTCCAAGGGCCGGGGGTGGTTCTGCCATCCGTGGCCTGAGAGCTGGGGGTGGTTCTGCCGTCCGTGCTACTCAGGCTGGGGGTTGTTTTGCCATCGATGCCCCTCGGCGTGGGTTCTCCCAGGGCTGGGGGCGGTTTTGCCATCGATGCCCCTCAGGCTGGGGGTGGTTCTGCCATTCGTGCTCCTCGGGATGGGTTCTCCCAGGGCTGGGGGTGGTTCTGCCATCCGTGCTACTCGAGCTGGGGGTTGTTTTGCCATCGGTGCCCCTCAGGGTGGGGGTGGTTCTGCCATTCGTACTCCTCAGGATGGGTTCTCCCAGGGCCGGGGGTGGTTCTGCCATCCGTGCCCCTCAGGCTGAGGGTGGTTCTGCCATTGGTGTCCTGAGAGCTGGGGGTGGTTCTGCCCTCGATGCCCCTCAGGGTGGGTGCCCCCAGGGTTTGGGGTGGTTCTGCCCTTGGTGCCCCTCGGGATGGGTTCTCTCAGGGCTGGGGGTGGTTCTGCCATCCGTGCCCCTCGGGCTGAGGGTGATTCTGCCCTTGGTGCCCCTCGGGATGGGTTCTCCCAGGGCTGGGGGTGGTTCTGCCATCCGTGCCCCTCAGCCTGAGGGTGGTTCTGCCATCCGTGCCCCTCGGGATAGGGACCAGCTGCCATCCCCGTCGCGCCGGTGTCGGATGACGGATCCAGGGATATTTTTAAGACCGGGTGGAAGATTCCTCCTTTGGTGTTTTTTTTTTTTCCTATTTTTTTTTCGTGTTTCCAAATTCAACCATCTCAAAGGAGGAGCGGGAGAGGCAGGAGCTGCGAGCGAATCCCCTGTGCGAGCGGAGCCACCCCGTCCCCGGTGCCGCCCGTCTGAGGCTCCGGTGTCCGGTTCCCGGCTCTCACTGCTCCAGTTTTGGCTTCTCGGCGGAATTGCTGAGCTTCTTCAAGGTCTTTTTAATGCGCAGGGCGGTGAGACGAGCCGAGGGGCTCTGGTACCAGCACTCCTTCATGATCCTCGCCAGCGCCGACAGAACCTGAGGGGGAGGCACAGAAACAGGGATAAATGTAAGGGTTTGATGGGCAGTGTGAAAAACGCCAATCATTTGGTTGTAAAATTTAAAAAAATTTAATAGTAATAAAATGGTTCTAAAAATAGTTACATAGTATATATATATATATAATAGTAAATTATAGTATATATATACTATATATTATATACTATATATTATATATTATAATAACAGAATATTATTATATGTAATATATAATATATAATATTATATTATATATTATATTATATATAATATAATGTATATATTATATATTATATATTATATATTATATATATACTATAATATATATAGTACATATATAATAGTAAATATATATAGTTATAAATATAACTATATATTTAAATATATATAGTTTATATATAAATATAAATAAATATATATAGTTACATTTAAATATATTTAAATGTAACTATATATAAAATATATATAGTTATATATATTATATATATTTATTACATTATATTATATATATTATGTATATATAATATAATGTAATAAATATATATTATATATATAACTATATACATTAACTATATATTTTATATATATATGTATATATAAACACATAAATATATTTCGTGTATTTAAATATATATTTTAAAATATATTTTATTTAACCTATTTTATTTCAATATATATTTTTAAACATAAATATAACTATATATATATATATATATATATATATATATATATATATAAAAAAATATAACTCTTTGTTTTTATTGTCTCATATTGTCCTAATCCAAATTCTCCAAATTATTATTACTCTAATTATATTAAAGAGTTATGGATGTCTGGGTACCTTTTCTGGGAAGCATAAGCCCGAAAAGGACCCACATTAACAGAAGATTCACCCTTAAAAGCAACGGCCTGTTGCATATTCATACACCTCATGCATGATGCATAAATTCCATTCAAACACAGGATTCTGGCTGGGCAGTGTCAGCTTCTTCCTCTGAATCCTGAGGTGTCTTCAGCACTGATCGAGGCGGGAATGTGAAAAATGCCAATCACTTGTTTTTAAAATTTTAAAAGTTTCATAATAATGAAATGGTTATAAAAATAGTAAGATAATTAGAGTAATAGTAATTTGGACAATTTGGATTAGGACAATATGAGACAATAAAAACAAAGAGTTACAGACAGTCCAGGTACCTTTTCTGGACAAAATAAGCCCAAAAAAGGACCCACATTAACAGAGGATTAACCCTTAAAAGCATCAGCCTGTTGCATATTCATACATCTCATACATGATGCATAAATTCCATTCAAACACAGGATTCTGCCTGGGCAGTGACAGCTTCTTCCTCTGAATCCTGATGGTGTCTTCAGAGGGAAGAAGTTTTGTTTCTCCTGATAATGGAGCAATAAATTCTCTTTCTCTGAAAGATTCAGGTGTCCTGTGGCTGCTATCTCGGTGTGAGTCCTTTCTTTAAAAAAACGTATCTTACATAGCATAGTTTTGTGAAAAATGTGTATTTTATGATTGGCTTTTTGCAAATATTAAATTGAATATGATATGTGTTGTGTTAGAAAGTGATGCTGTATTAATTCTCTTAAATACTGTGTTAAATATAGTTTTAGGTTGTAAGATAATTTTAAAATAGAAACTATGCTGTGTAGGATATTTCTTTTTCTAAAGGAAGGACTCGCAGTGAGATAGCAGCCACAGGACACCGAAATCTTACAGAGAAAGAGAATTTATTGCTCCATTATCAGGAGAAATGAACTTCTTCTTGCCTTGTTTGGGCAGGACGATGCCACTAGGATTCAGAGGAAGAAGCTGACACTGCCCAGGCAGAATCCTGAGTTTGAATGGAATTTATGCATCATGGATGAGGTGTATGAATATGCAACAGGCTGTTGCTTTTAAGGGTTAATCCTCTGTTAACGTGGGGCCTTTTTCGGGTTTATTTTGCCCAGAAAAGGTACCCGGACTGTCTGTAACTCTTTGTTTTTATTGTCTCATATTGTCCTCAATCCAAACTGTCCAAATTATTATTACTCTAATTCTATGACTATTTTTATAGTAATGTTTTATTACTATAGTAATAGTATATTTTTATTACTATATTAATTATTACTATTAGTATAAATTATATATATTAATGATATAGAATTTATACCAATAGTATAAATAGTATAAATTTTATATATAATATAATAATTATACATTATATATTAATTATTACTATTAGTATATATAAATAGTATTATTTTATTACTATATTAAATATTACTATTTATTAGTAATATTTTATTACTATATAAATAGTAATAGAATTAGAGTAATAATAATTTGGACAATTTGGAATTTTTGGCCCATTTTATTACTACTAAACTTTAAAAATTTTAAAAACAAGCGCTTGGCATTTTTCACTTTATATTTTAACATCTTATAACCTAAAACTATATTTAACACACTACTTAAGAAAATTAACACAGCAAAAATTTCTGACATAACACATATAATAATAAATTGAATATTTATGGATAGACAATAATAAAATACGTATTTTTTTCCCCAGGTAGCAGTGGGTGGGGCTCACCGAGTCGGAGAAGAGGCGGTTGGGGATCACGGGGGTCTGCTGGTCCACACACACCACCTTCTTCATGTCCTCGAAGCTGGGGTCGCTGGGCACGGCGTCGAAGAAGGGCGGCCGGTACTCCTCGACAATGCCTGTGGGACAGGGGGACAGCGAGGGTTAACGCCATCCTCATCCTCACCATCATCCTCCATCCTCACACTCATCCTCACCGTCATCCTCCATCCTCATCCTTATCCTCATCCTCACACTCATCCTCACTGTCATCCTCCATCCTCATCCTCATCCTCACCCTCACACTCATCCTCACCGTCATCCTCCATCCTCATCCTCATCCTCATCCTCATCCTCATCCTCACCGTCATCCTCCATCCTCACACTCATCCTCATCCTCACCATCATCCTCATCCTCACCATCATCCTCCATCCTCACACTCATCCTCATCCTCATCCTCATCCTCACCCTCACACTCATCCTCACCATCATGCTCACCGTCATCCTCACCCTCCATCCTCATCCTCACACTCATCCTCATCCTCATCCTCCATCCTCACACTCATCCTCCATCCCCATCCTCATCCTCACCCTCACACTCATCCTCACCATCATGCTCACCGTCATCCTCATCCTCCATCCTCATCCTCACCGTCATTATCATCCTCATCCTCACCGTCATCCTCCATCCTCCATCCTCATCCTCCATCCTCACCATCATCCTCACCCTCCATCCTCACCCCTCATCCTCATCCTCACACTCATCCTCACCGTCATCCTCCATCCTCATCCTCACCGTCATCCTCATCCTCCATCCTCACCCTCATCCTCACCCCCATCCTCATCCTCACCCCCATCCTCATCCTCATCCTCATCCTCATCCTCATCCTCATCCTCCATCCTGACACTCATCCTCACACTCATCCTCTTCCTCATCCTCACCCTCATCCTCACAATCATCTTCATCCTCCATCCTCACCCCCATCCTCACCCTTGTCTTCATCCTCACCCTCATCCTCATCCTCACCCCCATCCTCACACTCATCTTCATCCTCCATCCTCACAATCATCTTCATCCTCCATCCTCACCCTCATCCTCACACTCATCCTCACCGTCATCCTCATCCTCATCCCCATCCTCACCCTCCATCATCCTCCTCCTCACCCCCATCCTCACCTCCATCCTCATCCTCATCCTCATCGTCACCCTCATCCTCACCCTTGTCTTCATCCTCATCCTCACGCTCACCCCCATCCTCACCGTCATCCTCATCCTCACCCTCCATCCTGACCCTCATCCTCACTCCCATCCTCACCCTCGTCTTCATCCTCATCCTCACCCTCACCCTCATCCTCACACTCATCCTGACCCTCACCCTCATCCTCACACTCGTCCTCATCCTCATCTGCATCCTCCATCCTGACCCTCATCCTCCATCCTGACCCTCATCCTCATCCTCACCACCATCCTCATCCTCCATCCTCACCCTCATCTTCATCCTCATCCTCACCCTCACCCTCACGCTCATCCTCATCCTCAGCCTCATCCCCATCCTCATCCTCCATCCTCACCCTCGTCTTCATCCTCATCCTCACCCTCATCCTCACTGTCATCCTCTTCCTCATCCTCACACTCATCCTCACCGTCATCCTCTTCCTCATCCTCACACTCATCTTCATCTTCATCCTCATCCTCACCCCCATCCTCACCTTCATCCTCATCCTCACCCCCATCCTCACCCTCACTGTAATAAATGTACAACTTTTACAAATGTTTGGTGTAGGAATGTGCCCCCTGTTGACAGAGTGACCAAACTGTCCTTGGTCTCTTAAAAAGGAAAAAAGCCCAGAAGTTTCTTTCCTCAATCAGCAAAGAAGGCACCTCATAGGACCTGAGGGATTCACCTCAAACTTAAGGAGAGCCAATGGGACAGGAGCCAAAAAGTCCCACCTGAGCAATTCATTAGAAAAAGAAGAGAACAAAGGAACTGATTGCTTTTGTGGGGTGCTTTACCAGGAGCAAAAACCTCGAGTTTTCTGTATAGAGAGATTTGTTATTTTGCCTTTTATGAAAACTTTTCTGTTTCCAGCACTGCCACAGAAGCCATCCTGCTGATTTTATGCCATCTGAGGTAGCTGAGCTATCTTGGGTGTGAAACAGATCTCCAAGAGCTGATGAGACCTGACTCAAGGAGACCCTTACATCAGTGGAGTTTGGTTTTTTTCTCTCTTGCACCCAGCTCAGGTTTTCTCTATAAAAAGTTTTATTACTTTGCCTTTTATTAAAACCTTTTTGTTTCTAACACCACCACAGAAGCCATCCTGCTGTTTTTATGCCATCTGAGGTAGCTGAGCTACCTTGGGTGTGTGGATCTCCAAGAGCTGATGAGACCTGGCTCAGGGAGACCCTTACATCAGTGGAGTTTGGTTTTTCCCTGTTGCACCCAGCTCGGTTTTTCTCTATAAAGAGTTTTGTTATTTTGCCTTTTATGAAATTTTTTCGGTTTCCAACACCACCACAGAAGCCATCCTGCTGATTTTATGCCACCTGAGGTAGCTGAGCTATCTTGAGTGTGAAACAGATCTCCAAGAGCTGATGAGACTTTTCTCAAGGATTCCCAGCTTTCAATCATGGGCTGCTGCAGGGTCCCTGGAGCTGCTCCCTGCAGCATCAGCCCCTGGGCTGTGCCTCTCCTGGGCACAGGGGGTGCTGGCTCTGGTGTCACCGGCGGCTCCAGCACCAGCCCCACCACCAGGATCATCACCCACAGCAGCCCTCGGCACCTGGTGGCCAGCCTGCCAGCTGGCCCAGCTAATCTCGGTTTAATTCTTGCATATGTCCGTGTCCCAGAGGGATTTCATGGCTCTGCGAAGCCCCGAGCCCCCAGCAGCTCCTGCACCCCAAAACCTCAGGGTCCCCATCCCCGATGCCCCGGAGAGTGAGGGGTGCTGGAAGGGTTAAACCCAGCCGGTTGAAGGTCATTCCTACGCAAGGCTGGGGTGATTCGGAGTAAATGTGTCATCCGAGGGAGCCCTGGGGACATAAATGAGATTATCCCGGCCAGACTGCGCCTGGGGGGACCCTCCCACCCCATCCGCCAGCGCCCACCATTTAATTAACATTTAAATGGACTTTTATGTGATGAGCAGCGCTGGCCAGGCTGCCCCAATTCCGTTCATCCCCAGCTCGGGGGGACCCTTGCCCTTGTCCCAGTCCCGATTTCCCGAGCCAAACCCGGCGGCCGGAGGTCCCGGCCGTGGCCGCTTTCCAGGCAGCGCTTGAAGCCGCTTGTTTTCTAATCAGCGCTGAACAAACAAAGCACTGATTGAGCCTAATGGGCCCTTTAATCAGGGAGCCGGGTGCTGACACTAGATTACAGTGTTTATAATTTACAGCTAATCTTCTGGGCGAAGGAAAAGAGGGGAAAAAAAAAAAAAGAAAAAGAAAAAAAAAGAGGAGAGAAGGAGGGAACGGAGGAGGAGCCGGGGCCGGGAGCTGCTCACCGTTCACCACCGTTCTCCGGGTGATCTCCCAGAGCACCAGCCCGTAGGCCCAGATGTCCGTTTTCTTGTAGGACTCGAAGCAGTCGGTGCGGATCTGCTCGCTCAGCACCTCCGGGGCCATGTAGCGCTTGGTGCCCACGCGGGGGTTGTTGCCAATGTCCAGGTAATCGCTGCCCTGGGAGTGCATGACGGCCAGCCCTGGGGGCACAGGTCACAGAGGCATTTAGGATGATTTTTAAGGTCATTAATCCCAGCTATAAAATGCTGGGATAACGGCCCTGAGCAGTGCCGTGCTGGTGCTGCATCCATGGGGCTCAACATCCCTGAGGTCCCAAAACCCCAGGATGCCACATCCTTGTGGCACCATCACCCCGGGGCACCTCATCCCTGGAATGTTCCATCCCCGGGGTACCACATTCCCGGAGCATCACATCCCTGGAATGTTCCATCCCCGGGGTACCACATTCCTGGAGCATCACATCTGTGGGGTTCCACAGCCCTGGAGCACCATGTCCCTGGGGTTCTACATCCCTGGGGTACCTCATCTCTGGGGTATTTAATCCCTGGAGTATCTCATCCCTGGGGGTACCTCATCCCTGGGGTACCTCATCCCTGGGGTACCTCATCCCTGGGGTGCCTCATCCCTAGGGCACCACATCATTGGGGCACCTCATCCCTGGGGTACCACAGCCCTGGGGATTCCTCATTCTTGGGGTGCCTCATGCCTGGATACCTCATGCTCAGGGTACCTCATATTGGGGGTACCTCATCTCTGGGGTACCACACCCCTGGATTCCTCATCCCTGGGGTACCACATCCCTGGGGTACCTCATTCTTGGGGGTACCTCATCACTGGGGAAACTCATCCTTGGGATACCTCATCCCTGGATTCCTCATCCCTGGGGTACCACATCCCTGGGGTACCTCATTCTTGGGGGTACCTCATCCCTGGGGTACCTCATTCTTGGGGGTACCTCATCCCTGGGGTACCTCATCCCTGGATTCTTCATCGTTGGGGTATCACAGACCCGGGGTACCTCATTCTTGGGGTGCCTCATCCCTGGGGCACCACATCCCTGGGCTCCTTGTCCCTGGGGTACCACACCCCTGGCTTCCTCATTCTTGGGGTGTCTCATCCCTGGGGTACCCCATCCTTGGAGAAACTCATCCCTGGGGTACCCTATCCTTGGGGTACTTCATCCCTGGGGTACCACACCCCTGGATTCCTCATCCCTGGGGTACCTAATTTTTGGGGGTACCACCCTCCACCCCTCCATCTCACCCAGGTCTGCGATGCAGCACTGCCGGTTGCTTTTCACCAGGATGTTCCTGCTCTTCAGGTCCCGGTGGGCGATGGCAGGTTTGCCCTGAGTGCCAAAAATCTCCACGTGGAGGTGGACGAGGCCGCAGATGATGGAGGAGGCCAGGCCCAGGCAGGTGTCCACGTCCAGGGCTGTCCTCTGCAGGAAGTCGTAGAGGGAGCCGTTCTCGTGGTAGTGCGTGATGAGCCAGAGCTGCGTGCTCGAGTTCCTGGAGGTCATGTCAGAGGCGATGAAACCTGGCCAGGGAGGAACAGCTGGGGTCAGGGAACAGCTGGGGAGCAGCTGGGGAACAGCTGGGGAACAGCTGGGGAATACCTGGGGTCAGGGAACCTGGGAAACAGCTGGGATCAGGGAACAGCTGGGGAGCAGCTGGGGTCAGGGAACCTGGGAAACAACTGGGAAACAGCTGGGGACACAGACTCTGGGAAAGACCTGGAATCAGGGACCCTGGGACACAGTTGGGATCACAGATCCTGGGAAACACCTGGGATCAGGGACCCTGGGAAACACCTGGGATCAGGGACCCTGGGAAACACCTGGGAAACACCTGGAAAACACCTGGGAAACACCTGGGATCAGGGACAGAGAGAAACACCGGGGACCCTGGGATTAGAGACCCTGAGAAATGCCTGGGGACACAGACCCTGGAAAACACCTGGGATCAGGGAACCTGGGAAACACCTGGGATCCTGGGAAACACCTGGAATCATGGACCCTGAGAAACACCTGGGACCCTGAGAAACATCTGGGATCAGGGAACTTGAGAAACACCTGAAGACACAGACCCTGGGAAACACCTGGGAAATACCTGGGAACCTGGGAAACACCTGGGATCAGGGAACCTGGGAAACATCTGGGATCAGGGACTCTGGGGAAACATCTGGGATCAGGGTCAGGGAGAAACACCTGGGGACACAGACCCTGGAATTCATCTGGGATCAGGGAACCTGTGAAACACCTGGGATCAGGGACCCACCCCGCAGGTGCCCGCTGTTCCCAGCCCTCCTGGCTCACCCAGGATGTTGTCGTGCCGCAGCAGGACGGTGTTGTAGATCTCCGTCTCGCGGAACCACGACTGCTCGTCCCGCGAGGAGAAGATCTTGACGGCCACGCTCTCGCCGTGCCACACGCCCCGCCACACCTCGCCATAGCGCCCTTTACCTGCCACAGCCATGGCATCGCCTCACCCAGTGCCCCCAGGACCCGCTGGGAGCACCTGGGTCCCGTGTGGGAGAGAGCCCTGGAGCAGCTCGGGGGTCCTTGGCCAGCATCTCCTCACCCACCCAGCTGCTCCCTCCTTCCCTCCCCAGGCAGCAGGAAAGGGGAAGAACTTGGGGTTTGTCCTAAATTGCAAGATAAGTGTGAATTCTATTGCCATCTGTCAGAGGTGGGGCAGTTAACATCTGTTAATTGGGCTGTTAACTCCTGTTAATTGGGTAGTTATCTTCTGTTAATTGGGCAGTTATCCTCTGTTAATTGGGCAGTTATCCTCTATTAATTGGTCAGTTATCTTCTGTTGTTTGGGCAGTTTTCTTTATCTCTTCCACAGCCAACCCTCCCCCCCAGGAGATATCTTCTGTTAATGGGCCATTAATTAATAATCTTCTGTTCATGGGCCATTGAATGTCCCTGCATGGCTGATAAAATTCCATCATCCCACTGGGAGGTGCTCTGCCCAGGGGGAGGAGCCAAACATTCCTGCCTGGATACAATCTGAGATTTCAAACATTCCCACCTGGATACAATCTGAGATTTCAAACATTCCTGCCTGGATACAATCTGAGATTTCAAACATTCCTACCCAGATACAATCTGAGGTTTTGGGACACCAGGACAGCTTTTTCCCCTTGCATTCCCAGAGGAGCAGCTTTCTGCTGCCCTGCATTGCCAGAGGGAGCCCAGGCCCATCTCCAGCAGCCCTGGAGCTGCAGAGGAAAACTCCCCCCTTGTGCAGGATCCCTGCTCCAGCAGAACCACAGCTGGCACTGCAGGAGGGCTGAGCCCCCATGGGATGGGGCTGTGCCACCACCCTGACACACAGGGGACAGGGACTGCTGTCACTCTGGCAGGGTTATTTTGTATTACTGCATTGTTTATTTTATTTTATTTTCTTCCCTAATAAATAACCGTTATTCCTGCTCCAATATCTTTGCCTCAGAGCCCCTTAATTTCAAAATCAAAATAATTCAGAAGGAGGAGGTTTCCATTTTCCATTTCAGGGGAGGTTCCTGCCTTCCTCAGCACACACCTGATTTTCAAACCAAGACTGGGTTGCTGCTGGGTTTTGGCTGACACGGCTGGGTCCAAGCCCCTCCTGGCTTTGGAGCTGTGGTGCCAAAACTCCAGCACCAGCTGGGGGTGGCTGGGGCAGCTGAGACATAAACTTTAAGGAATTTGGAGATTTTACAGAAGCTAAGCTTTTAGTTAGAGATAAACTTTGAGTTAATTGAAATAAATGGGTAGGCCTTGATGAAGTTAAGAGTTAGTAGTTAATTAATAATTGATTGCTTGTCAGCACAATGTTTGGTTAGCTGGGTTTCTAATGGAGAATATAGAAACTGATAAATGGCTTTTAGGAACATCAGACAATTGTAGGGCTCCTCTGTTCTGAAACCAATTGAAGACGGGGAATGGGAGTTCTACCAAGGGTTGATTTGTCAGATTTGCATTGAAAGGGTAGAAAGGTCAGAATGAGGAAGACTTCATTTACTTCCTCATTTTGGGACCCCTCCCCATGAAAGGGACCCCATTTCAAGGAACAAACTGCACATGCTTAATGGCTTTTGAACTAATTACCATGCTTAATGGCTTTTGAACTAATTACATTATGGGGCGGGGAATGGGATGTACCAGAGTTATGAATTTGTATTTGTATTTTGGGTATTCAATACTTGTATTGAATTGATATCTATGGATATCAAAATCCATAGCTCAATATCCATATTGGGAATGGGATGTACCAAAGTTATCAACATGTGTTTGTATTTTGGGTATTCAATACTTGAATAGATAAAAGGACTCTGTAATCAACTGTAAATTGCAGTGTGTTTTAAGGAATTATCCCCAAATAAACATACACTTTCTAACTTTAGACTGTTAGAGAGATTTTGTCCATCACAGTTGGATATTGGTACTAGATCAATATCCATGTTTGGAATGGGATGTACCAAAGTTATGAATATGTATATGTATTTTTGGTATTCAATACTTGCACAGAAAAAAGGACTCTGTAATCACCTGTAAATTGCAGTGTATATGTGGGAGTTATGCCACAATAAACATCCACTTTCTAACTCCAAACTCTTAGAGAGTTTTTGGATATTGGTACTAGATCAATATCCATGTTGGGAATGGGATGTACCAAAGTTATCAATATGTGTTTGTATTTTGGGTATTCCATACTTGTATAAACAGAAGGACTCTGTGATCACCTGTAAATTGCAGTGTGTTTTTGGGAGTTATTCCACAATAAACATCCACTTTCCAACTCTAAACTGTTAGAGAGTTTTTGTCCATCACAGTTGGATATCGACACTAGATCAATATCCATATTTTTAAATAATCCACATTTTTTAATATCCATATTTTTTAATAAATCACAGCCTCCTCTCCTTACCCACACACTCCATGAGGGTGACCTGCCGAGCCACCGTCCTCTGGACAAGGAAAGGCAGCCCAGAACCGCTGCCCGTGGTGCAGTCGTCGTTGAGCAGGTCCTGCACAAACATGGTGACCATGGGGTCAGCCTGGTGGCCATCCCCACACACACCTTGGGGACATTTGGGGTCCCTCACGGGGCTCACCCACCTCTAAGGTGCTGTCTCCCATCATGGATGCCTTCAGCATGAGGTCTGTGTCACCAAAGTCGCTGTGCTTGTGGCGCTGCTGGGCCACCTTCCAGCAGAAGAGCGCCGTGAGCGCCGCGAGGACGAGGAGGGAGAGCAGCGGGACGAAGATCATCAGGAGGAGGTTGGGTAGGGAAGGCGTCGTTACCAGGGCATCTTCTCCTGGGTGGGGGAAACGAGGGTGTGGCATTCACATTCTCTGAAAAAAATCCCTCCGCCCAGGATTTATCTCCTGGGAAGCTGAGGAGCCTCAGAGAAAAGGAAAACAACTCTGATCTCATTTGATTCTCCTGTGTTTTGCTCATGTGGAATGTGTTTGGAGGTTGTTTCATTGGATTCTGGTGTGAATTGTTTTGACCCTTTGGCCAATCAGGGCCAAGCTGTGTCAGGACTTTGGAGAGAGTCACAAGTTTTCATTATTATCTTTTTAGCATTCTGTAAGTATCCTTTCTCTATTCTTTAGTATAGTATAGTTTAATGTTCTTTAATATAATATAGTATCATAAAATAATAAATTAGCCTTCCGAGAACATGGAGTCAGATCCATCATTCCTCCCTGCCACGGGGGTCCAGGACACGAACATCAGACACCACCCAGCCCCTCCAGGACCTTCCCAAGCCCTCCATGCCCACTCTGATTCCCTGTTTCACTCAGCTGAGGTGACACTTCCCGAGCTGGAACCATTCTCCAGGCAGCACAAAGAACTTTTAATTCTATTTTAAAAAGGACCTTTCCTGTGGCATTCACATTCTCTGAAAGAATTTTTTTTGCTCAGGATTTATCTCCTGGGAAGCTGGGGAGCCTCAGAGAAAAGGAAAACAATTCTTATCTCATTTGCTTCTCCTGTGTTGTGCTCATGTGGAATGTGTTTGGACATTGTTTACCCACAGGTGATTGTTTGATTGGGTTTCTGATGTGAATTGTTTTGACTCTTTGGCCAATCAGGGCCGAGCTGTGTTGAGACTCTGGAGAGAGTTTTGAGTTTGAGAAATCTCAACATGAGTTTTCATTACTAGATTTTTAGCATTCTGTAAATATCCTTTCTGTATTCTTTAGTTAGTACAGTATTCTTTAATATAATATAGTATAATAAAGTAATAAATTAGCCTTCTGAGAACATGGAGTCAGATTCATCATTCCTCCCTGCAAATACAAAACGAGGGGTGCAAAGGTGAGGGTGACCTGGGAGGATAATAAATATAATATAATATAATATAATATAATATAATATAATATAATATAATATAATATAATATAACATAATATAATATAATATAATATAATATAATATAATATAATATAATATAATATAATATAATATAATTTCTTTAACTATTATTTATTTTATTATTATATATTTTATTATATGTATATATATGATATTATATATAGTATCATATATATTACATTATATATTATATTACATTACATTACATGATATTACATATTATTATATCATATCATATCATATGGTATCATACCACACCATATATATTATATTATATTATATTATATTATATTATATTATATTATATTATATTATATTATATTATATTATATTATATTATATTATATTATATTATATTATATTATATTATATTATATTATATTATATTAATACAATAATAAATCAACCTTCTAAGAACATGGTGTCAGATTCATCAATTCCTCCTTCATCCTGGGGACCCAACCACATCCCCAGCCCCGTGGGCAGCTCATCCCCTGTCCCCTGTACCTTGCAGGAAGATCTCCAGCTGGGCGTTGCACATGTGGAAGTTGCAGCACCTCATGCCGTACTGCTCCGTGACGGGCGTGTGGCAGTGTTCCAGAATGTTCTGGGAGAAGCATCCCCGGTGCTGGGTGATGGTGCCCTCCTCCTTCCTCTTGCTGACGAAGCACACCTGGCCCGTGCAGTTGGGCTGGCTGCAGTGGGGCACGTCACAGGCACACAGCAGCTCCTCTGCGGGCACCAGGAGGGGACACTGGGTCACCCCACTGCCCACCCGGGAGCTCTGGTGGCTTTGGGGACAGGGACATTCTCCTAAAGGCTCCAAATTAGGAGAATGAGTGGCTTGGGACCGTCAGAGAAGGAGGGGAAGGCTGCTGTGGGTGCTCAACTCATCCTGGCACCTCCCAGAAAATCTCCTGCTACCAGTTGGGCTCCAAATCCCAGCCCTGAACCTGGGGGTCTCCTGTGCCCCAAGAGGCTCCATGGGATGGGCTGTGCCTGCCTGGGATAGATCCAGCCCAGCAGCTGGGATTAACTGGGATGCACTGGATTACCACACACAGGGTCACATCCTGCCCACAAAATCCCAGGGGATTCACAACAAACAGGGTCACATCCTGCCCACAAAATCCCAGGGGATTCACAACAAACAGGGTCACATCCTGCCCACAAAATCCCAGAGCACATGGGGCACCTATGGGAGCCCGGGGCAAGATCAAAAGCCCCAAACGCAGCCTGTGCCTTCCCAGTGGGTGTTTTGGGATCTGGGTGCCAAACCCAGGGTCTTTCCTGGAGTTTCTCCTGACTTCCCTGAAGTTGCTTTCCCATGCCATGGTGGCTCAGATGGCAGCCACGCTCCCAAATTCCTAATTTAGCTCTGCCCTTTTGCACAGAAAATATCCCTCCTGGAATCAGGGAGTTCAGCGTGAGGGCAGCCAGACATCCGGTGGTGAGGGGACAGCGAGGGGACAGCGAGGGGGTGGCTCTGGTGGCCATCCTGCACTCCCTGTCCCCCTGCCCAAAGGCTGCCTGTGCTGTGGGGTGCTGCTGGGGCTGGTTTGGGCTTGGTGGCTGTTGGGAAGGATGAAAGTTTGACAAGAAAGTCTCACAGATATGTGTGCTTAGCAGAAAGATTTTCAAATGTTGAGTCTGGTGAAAGAATAGAGATGGAAGCAAGTTTTGATATAGAAGAAAAGAATTGCTGAGCCAGTCTCACTGGATAACTAAGGAGGCAAAGGGTGGGTTAATTAGAGGGGTTTTTATGGCTTAGAGCAAAGGATAAACCCACCCCAAACAAGAAGATGTTTTTACTAAGCAGAAAGAGAGCACAGGCAAACAAGGCAGCAAATGTGGAAAGTAGAAAAAATGTCTCAGAATTTTCCACTGCAAGAAAACTGAAAAACAACTCCTAGCTTAAACTGTAATGTGCTAACTTTTAGTGATTGGAGAAGAGTAACATGAATATGGTAATTACAGCAGTTATGATAGGCTGTATATAAAAGTAAAGGTATAGATTGGTTCTACTGTATTAAGATGCTCAGTAAAGAACAGTATAAAATGCATTGGAACCAAAAGAAAAGTATAAAATGCAATGTAACCAAAAGAAAAGTATAAAATGCAATGTAACCAAAACCAAAGGGTGTCCAGGCCTAGCTGGAGCTGACAGCTGTGGGCACAGGCTCTGTCACCCATGACCCTGGACTGCTGTGACCTCTTAGATAAAACAAACTGCATTTTGGAGAGCTGCCTGGAGTCCCACATCCCTCATTTAGGCTCTTCCAGGTGGCCCCATGGGCTGGACAGGGACCTGGTGGATGGAGACTCATCCCCCCAGCGAGCTCTGCTGCTCCTCCCTGGCACAGCCACGTTAACCTGGACCTTCCTGCAAGAGCACCCAGTCCCCAGGGCACCTGGTGCCCCCTGGGATGCTGAGCAGCTCCTCCTGCTTCCCACCAACACCATCATCATCATCATCATCACCACCAGCCCTGGGAAAACCCAGATTTTTAGTATGTGGTACCAGCCTTTCCCTGGGGAAGGGGCTAACAGCAGGCCTGTTAGCTAAAAGAGTGAGAAGAAGCTGAGAAGCAAGAAGCTGATAAGGAGCTCTCTCTAAGGCTGTGACCAAGAAGACTGAAAGAAGTGAAGAACTGAAGAAAGATAAGAGAACTTTGCAGCTGGACGAAATATTTTTAGAAAGTTATTTGAAGTCACTGTAACTTTTCACTGATAGTGTTATGGTGACTGATTGTAGCCAATAATTAACGTAGAAAAAGCATAAACAATTGAAAAGTGTACAAAAAGCCAGCCATGTTCAATAATAAAGAGTTGCCATCTGAGACTGCTCGTGGTCTCTGCTTTGTGTCGTGACCGCCTCGACAGCGACGTTTCCCCACCTCCCCTCTGGTGACAGCAACACACTTGATCAACCACAATTAATTAAGCTGGGATCCTCTCTGGGGGATGGCTCACCACAGTCCCTGAGGAGCCCAGCTTCCTCCCTGGCTTTTATTTTGAGCAGAGATGCTCCCAAAAAGCCGAGGGTTTATTTTAACTCGTTGTCACCCCATTGGCACTCACCGGCTGCAAAGCTGAAGGACAAGGTCATCAGCGCCAGCACCACCCGGCCACCAGCCCCACACGGCATCATCCTGGGGAGAGAGAGGGGGGTCAGAGCAGCCCTGCACCCCCAGAGCCCATCCCCAACCATGGGGGCTTTGGGAAGGGATGGGCATTGCAGAATTCAGGCACGGACAGAGTGAGGTAAGATGTGTTTGGCTCCGGACATCCTGGGCACGGCCCTTCCTGAGAACAGATCCCTCCCAAGCTCAGGGGACCTCCCTGGCATGATGTGGGTGCCACTTGTGGCCCCACAGAGCTCAGGAATGTGCTGGAACCAGGTCCTTGCCATGTCCATGCAGCCCAAAGCTCCTTCCTTTCTCCCAGTGATCCCCACACCGGCATCGCCTGTTAAATTCACATTCTCTGGAAAATCCCTTTGCCCAGGATTTTCCTCCTGGGAAGCTGAGGAGCCTCAGAGACAAAGGAAAACAATTCTCAGCTTATTTGCTTCTCCTGTGTTTTGCTCATGTGGAATGTGTTTGGAGATTGTTTACCCCCAGGTGATTGTTCCATTGGATTCTGATGTGAATTGTTTTGACTCTTTGGCCAATCAATGTCAGGACTCTGGAGAGAGTCACGAGTTTTCATTATTATCTTTTTAGCATTCTGTAAGTATCCTTTCTGTATTCTTTAGTATAGCATAGTTTAATGTTCTTTAATATAATAAAGTAATAAATAAATAATTTAATAATAAATACAAAAATAATAAGTAATATAATAAAGTAATAAATCAGCCTTCTGAGAACATGGAGTCAGATCCATCATTCCTCCCTGCCATGGGGGTCCAGGACATGAACATCAGACACCACCCAGCCCCTCCAGGACCTTCCCAAGCCCTCCATGCCCACTCTGATTCCCTGTTTCCCTCAGCTGAGGTGACACTTCCCAGGCTGGAACCATTCTCCAGGCAGCACAAAGAACTTTTAATTCCACTTTCTATTCTAAAAAGGGCCTTTCCCGTAGCATTCACATTCTCTGAAAAAATCCCTTCACCCAGGATTTTTCTCCTGGGAAGCTGAGGAGCCTCAGAGAAAAGGAAAACAATCCTGATCTCATTTGCTTCTCCTGTGTTTTGCTCATGTGGAATGTGTTTGGAGATTGTTTACCCACAGGTGATTGTTCCATTGGCTTCTGGTGTGAATTGTTTTTACTTATTGGCCAATCAGTGTCAAGCTGTGTCGAGACTCTGGAAAGAGTCACAAGTTTTCATTATTATCTTTTTAGCATTTTGTAAGTATCTTTTATTCTTTAGTATAGTTAGTAAAGCATTCTTTAATATAATACAGTATCATAAAATAATAAATCAGCCTTCTGAGAACATGGAGTCAGACTCATCATTCCTCCGTGCCAAATACGCTTCCAAGGGTGCTTCACATCCTTTGGAATGTGTTTGGAGATTGTTTCATTGGATTCTGCTGTGAGTTGTTTTGACTCTTTGGCCAATCAGGGCCAAGCTGTGTTGAGACTCTGGAAAGAGTCACGAGTTTTCATTATTATCTTTTTAACATTCTGTAAGTATCCTTTCTGTATTTTTTAGTATAGTTTAGTTTAATATTCTTTGTCAGAATCCAGGACATCCCTCTGGCTGCCCTGGATGGCTCAGAGTCCCTGGCACAAAGCCCAAGACCCTTGTGCCTTTGATTTTGGCCCATGGAAAAAATGACCAACCTATATGAGGAATTACAAGCCACAAAAGTTGAAATAAAATGATAGTTAGTTTGTCACAGGGTGAAAAGTAGAATTTTGAGGTTTTTAGAATGGGGGCTTGAGGTCCCAAGATAAAGGAATTTAGGTGTGCCTTATCCTTCTTTCTCCTTCTTCCTAGCCTCCAATTTCTAAGTGATGGTGGCACTTTTAAATTAGTTTAGAGTAGGAAAACACTGTCTAACATAAGTGATAAGTATTGGAAAATAATTGTAAATAAAGTACACGTAGTTTTTAGTATAAAAGATGACACTGCCCTGAAGGTGGGCAGTGTGCCACTGACTGACCTGCTGAACCTCAGCAAGCCAAGGAAAAAATGTCACAAATAACAGAAAATAACCTTGAAAACCAGAAAAAAAAAAACTGACTCCTTTTACTGTTGCCAGGCTGAGAAAAGAAACTCTCTGACACATCTTGGGGTCAGCCAAAACGACAGAGACCCCAGTATAATATAGTATTATAAAATATTAAATATAATAATATAATATAATATAGTATCATAAAATAATAAATATATGAATATGATATGATATAATATAATATAATATAATATAATATAATATAGATGATATAATATCATATCATAAAATAATAAATATAATATAATATAGTATCATAAAATAATAAATTAGCCTCCTAAGAACATGGACTCAGATTCCTCATTCCTCCCAACGTCGAGGCACCCCACAAATACAGAGACCCCTGAGAATTCTTTAATATAATATAGTATCATAAAATAATAATATAATATAATATAATATAATATAATATAATATAATATAATATAATATAATATAATATAATATAATATAATATAATATAATATAATATTATATTATATTATATTATATTATATTATATTATATTATATTATATTATATTATATTATATTATATCATAATAAATTAGCCTTCTGATATATAATATAGTATCATAAATATAATATAGTATCATAAAATAATAAATTAGCCTCCTGAGGACATGGACTCAGATTCCTCATTCCTCCCAACACTGAGGCACCCCACAAATACAATAACTCCCTGCTGCTCCCAGTGTTCCTGCTCCATAAAAACACAGCCCTGCTGATGCCACAGCACCGCTGGGGATCCCAAATTTGGGAAAACCTTCCTGTGGGATGGAGCCCAAATCCCCCACACCACGAGCCGGGTCTCCCTCCTGGGGCTGCTTTTATGTGCACAGCTTATCAATGACACAAACAGAGGTGCTGGGACAGCCAAAAATTCCTTGCTGAGCCTTTGGGGGAGGGAAGTTTGGCTATTTTTAATCTTCCTTTTTATATTTTTTTTTTTATTTTTCTCTTTGTGAAAGAGCCATTTGTGCCAAGGCAAACACGGCCATCCCCCCCAGCCTCACAACCCCGGCCCCTCCTCGGCTCATTCTTCGTGTTCCCGACATAAACATGGCAAAAGGCTCCGTTTCCTGCAATTGAAGAGCCCAGCCCAGGGCTGCTGGGACAGGAATCAAGATTGTTTAGATCCTGCCCTTGATGGGGAAGCGCAGTCACGCAAGGCCGGCACACGCGGACGTGGCTGACCCCGGCAGGCCCCAGCCCTGCTGAAATCGGCCTTTTCCTCCCCAAAATAACTCACTCGGTTGTGGCTCGAGGGGAGGAAAGAGTGGGAAGATCAGTGAGAAAATCCTGGGTGCTGGGAATGGAGGGCAGGTCCTTGGTGGGGGAGTGATGCCAGCTGATTCACCCGAGCCTGTCTGGGCCAGGTTCAGCTTTGGTTTAAAATCCCAATTCCCCCAGAGATGGGCTAGGATCTGCTTTATTTTAAATTCCCAGCTCTCCCACAGCTGGGCTAGGATCTGCTTTGGTTTAAAATCTCAGCTCCCCAAGAGCTGGGCTAGGATCTGCTTTGGTTTAAAATCCCAACTCATCCAGAGCTGGGCTAGGATCTGCTTTGTTTTAAATTCCCAACTCACCCAGAGCTGGGCTAGGATCTGCTTTATTTTAAATTCCCAACTCTCCCAAAGCTGGGTTAGGATCTGCTTTATTTTAAAACTCAACCCTTCTGGAGCTAGGATCAGCTTTATTTCAGGATAGCTGATCCTAGGTCTAGGATCTGCTTTATTTTAAATTCCCAACTCACCCAGAGCTGGGCTAGGATCTGCATTATTTTAAAACTCAATCCCTCTGGAGCTGGGCTGGGATCAGCTATCAGCTTTATTTTAAATTCCCAACTCACCCAGAGCTGGGCTAGGATCAGCTTTATTTTAAAATCCCAATTCATCCAGAGCTGGGCTAGGATCTGCTTTATTTTAAAACTCAACCCCTCTAGAGCTGGGCTAGGATCAGCTTCATTTTAAAATCCCACCTTCCCCAGAGCTGGGCTAGGATCTGCTTTATTTTAAATTCCCAACTCACCCAGAGCTGGGTTAGGATCAGCTTTATTTTAAAATCCCAACTCTCCCAGAGCTGGGCTAAGATCTGCTTTATTTTAAAACTCAACTCCTCTGGAGCTGGGCTTGGTTCAGCTTTATTTTAAATTCCCAACTCACCCAGAGCTGGGCTAGGATCTGCTTTATTTTGAAATCCCAACTCTCCCAAAGCTGGGCTAGAATCAGCTTTATTTTAAAATCCCAATTCACCCAGAGCTGGGCTAGGATCAGTTTTATTTTAAATTCCCAACTCACACAGAGCTGGGCTAGGATCAGCTTTATTTTAAATTCCCAACTCTCCCAGAGCTGGGCTAAGATCTGCTTTATTTTAAAATCCCAATTCACTCAGAGCTGGGCTAGGATCAGTTTTATTTTAAATTCCCAACTCACCCAGAGCTGGGCTAGGATCAGTTTTATTTTAAATTCCCAACTCACCCAGAGCTGGGCTAGGATCTGCTTTATTTTAAAATTCAGCCCCTCTGGAGCTGGGCTGCTGATTCCTCACCAGCACCGCATTTCTTGCAGTCCTGAGAGCTGCAGGATGTGTGATTTAAAAGGGAAGCTGAGCCTCCCAGGTGGTGAATTCCCTCCCTGGAGCCACTTCCCCAAAATCCTGAAGCATGAGACAGCTGCAGGATATTTGCCATCAAACACAAAGCAGGCAGGGCCTCACCCAAACTCTGCTGTGCACCAAACATCCCATGGATTGTTGTTGTTATTGAGAGCAAACCTTAATCCAGAGCTGTCCCTGGCATCCCACAGGAAAAACATCCCAGGAAAGGCACAAACCAGTCCTGGCATTCCCATCCCTGTCCCTTCCTTCCTCTTTTCTCATCAGGAACTGCAGCTCATGGGCATCCAGAGCATCTCACCCTGCTTGCCTGGGTGCTGGTTTATATTCTCTGGGAGTTGTAGCAT